ATTCATTTTTAAAAAATTTTAAGACTAGAGTTTTTTATTAATTAACTTTAATTTATTAATTGATTGAATAAACTATATGTAATCGAAAAAAATATTGAAATTGAAAATTTTATAAAATAACATATAATTTGTCATAAAAAACTATGGCATAGTTTACTGTGGATAGGCTGAAAAGGTGTGGATGGTAAATATAGATAGACAATCTTTATTATTACATGTTAGATGTAATGAGTAACATGACTTGTATTTTTTGATGGTTTTGTTGGAATTTGTCGTATGATTCTATTTTAATTATTATGTATTGTTATGATTTTTTAATAACATAAATAATAACTTATTGTTACGATGTGGTAATTTGCCATTTAACTTTTTAACGTTTTTATAATAAAAATTATATTTTATTTAACTATGTTAATAGAATTTGTTATGTGATTATTCTGTCATTTTTATGTTTATTAATAATATACTATTGTAATATAATTTATTGTTATTAATTAATAGTTTAGTTTAGACATAAAACCTTTGTCTTTAACATTTTCAACAAAACCAGAACATTATTTAGGATGTAAAACCCTTCTTTATACGTATAATTTGTGCCAACAAAAAGAACTTTATTTAACAAATTTCAATTCCCAAATATTATTATTAAAATAATAAACTAATGGAGTGTTTATATAAATTACAATACTATTAGTAAAAAGTGATGACAAATGCATTTTTAAGCCACAAATAACAAAAAATAATATTATTTAAAATTGATATTAAAATTAAATATTTTTTAATGCAAAAAACGGGAATTTTCCCAAATTATAATCACATAAATCACTTTTGAAATGTTTTTTCAATAAAAAAACGAAAAAAATAGTGTTACATGTATTAAATAAACGGGATAATACATGTAAATTATGTTAGTAATTTTATTTGTTCATTTTGATCTATTCTTATTTTACCACTCCAAAAAAGGCTGAAAATAGCGTTTTTTCTTACTATGAAATTATTGCAAATATTGGAAATACTCCTTATGGGGGTATTCATGTTTGTGTATGATTTTCGTCCCATAAATGATTATAAGTAACAATTATTAATTTTAAAAATCATAACATATGGTTTAAAACGAAGATTTGGGGTTTTTCGACAAAAAAATAAGATGCTATCCACACAAAATAATCCAATCCACAGGGATTCACCATTTCGGTGTGGATACGCCCTATCACGTTAACACTCTTAATAATAATAAGAAATTAAGAAATTAATAAGAAATTAATAAAACATAGTTTTAAGTTTGCATCTCAAACTAGTTAAAATAAACTAAAAATTTTACAAAATGGACTCCGACACCCAATTTGAATTTGATGATCAAATGTCGTTAGTCTTTATCAGTTCACTATTATGCATAGGGTTACTCCTATTGCTGCTAATCTTCCTTCGTCGGCGTTATCGGACAACGCCATCCTTTCCATGTGAATGTTCTTTATGTTGTGAGAAGCATTTCCGTTCCTCTTTGCGTCGCAAGAAGTACACTAAACTTGATGTCATCCTTCTTTTTCTTATTGTGCTCTTCTCTTCCCTTTTTGCGTTCAACGTGTTATACATTTCACGCGCGGAAGTACCTTCCCCTCCAGAGAAATTTGACCCCTATCACATATTAAGTGTCACACGGGGGTCCAGCGAGAAGGACATTCGTGCGGCTTACCGGCGCTTGTCTCTGAAGTACCATCCCGACAAGAACAAGTTGGAGAGTGCAAAGGAGAACTTCATTTTAGTGACACGGGCGTATGAGGTCTTGACCACACCAAGTAAATTAAGAGCGTGGGAGGAGACCGGGCGAGACGAAGAAGACCACGGCGTCACTTTTGGGATAGGCATGCCGTCCTTTTTGAATGGGCGGAAGAACAAGACTTTCGTCTTGGCCTTTTATGGTATTGTTGTGGTGTTATTGATACCTCTTGGTGTGTTTCTCTTATATTCAAAATGTGGAGGAAAGTCCCGCGGACGCGCTGAATATGCCACAAATGCCGCAGTGTCGCGTATAATGCGGGAACAGATGACTTTAATGAAGGTCGTTGAATTATTGAGTTTTTCAACGGAATTTGCAGATCTTGAAATTGAACAAAGGGACACAACGGACCTTCCTTTATTAGTTCAAAAGATCAAAAGTCAATTTCGAGTTGAGCAAAAGGACTTTTTGCCAGTGCCAATGAAGATTCAAACGTTAATTGGCGCTCATCTGTCAAGACTTCATAATGAAATGCCTCAATACTTAAGAGATGAGTTAGACTATATAATAGAGAAGGCGCCAAATGTGTTAAATAAGTTGGTTTATATAATGATTTCTAAAGGGAATATGGAAGGAGTCTGGTCCACTTTAAAGGTCAATCAAATGATCACGCAGGCAACTGATAACGAAAACGAGCAGATTCCAGATATCGACAATAACAAAGAGAATACTACTGATATATTCAAATTCGAGGAGTTTGTGCAGTTGAGCGAAAATGAAAGAACCGCATTTGTGCAAAAGAACTATAAAATAAACTATAAATTACCAGTAAATTATAGTTTAAAATTCTTTCGATATTTTCCGAGTTCAGTTGAGTTTGTGGTACAGGCGATGAGCGCGACGATGAACCAAAAAGTAGCGAGGGGAGTCCCGTTGATGGTTTTAATCAACGCGTATCGATATCCACGCGAAAACACGGGCGAGTTGAGTGGGCGTTTTAAAGACAAATTTTCGAACATTTTTGAGAGTGAGGGGGGTGAACGTGAAAATCAAAACGAAGACGTTGACGATCAACAGAAAATCAATGAACACAACGAGAAGGTCTTTTTCGATGACAATAAACACGAAATAAAAGAGGACGTGTATGTACATAATCCACTGTGTCCAAATGAAAGACTCGAAAGGTGGTGGTACATTTTGACAGATGCTAGTGACAGCTACGTAATCACCGCGACGTGCGGGTTCATTCAAATTTCAGACAGACCAACGGTCATAAAAATCTATGCAAAGAACCCGAATGGGGTTGGGAAATATCACGTGAATTTGCACTGCATTTGTGACGCTTATATTAACTGTGAGAAAACTTTCCATCTCGATTTTGATGTTGTGGAAAGAACTTTTGAAGACGAAAATGAAGTGAGCGATGCGAGTGAAGAAGAAATGAACGGAGAAGAACAAAAGAGTGACAACGAAGAAAACGAAAGGGAGAGTGTAACAAATGAAGAAAATTAAATTCTTCGTATTTTTAGTTGTTATTTATAATAATATATCACTATAATTTGTATAATATTAACACTTAAAATAACATTTGAGTTTTTACAATTGACCTGTTTTTTGGGGATATATTAAAATTTTTGAAATTTTTGGTGTTTTTACTTTTTCGCTTGTGTAATGTTATCCACATATACTCAGTCTAAAAACGTTGTGCGGGCATTTTTGGACAATCAAAAGTGAAATTTTTCGGGAAACTGTTTGAAACACTCCAAAAACTACGTTTAATAATTATTACTTGGTTTTCAACTGTTTGATTCCTTTTTTAACTTATTTTATGTATATTTTTAAAAAGGACAACGTTTTTAAACAGACTTTAATAATTTTTTAAAGAACTGAAAATATTTTAATAAGAATGAGATTTCCTGTTTTTGAAACCACTTGAATTATGTTCAATATCATTTAGAGTGTTAATTAATCAAAATAACGACAAAGGAAGTTGATTTATTTTGTTGCAAATAATGTATTTACACGGTGCTATAAACTTATTGTAAAAAAATGTAAATAACATTACAATAAAACAGTTGTATAATAAGTTTTATTTATTCTTTTTTCTTTATTATTTTTATTTTAAAAGTTTTAAAAAACATTGGTTTTACTTGATTGTTTATTGAATGGTTTTTTATGTTATTTATTCCAGTTTTTGTTAAGTTTAATTTTACATAATAAAAACTTGTGTATCACCGATAACATTTTTTTTTCTTATTTTAAATACCCAATAAAAAAGATTTTAATGCCCCTGTTTAATGACCATTTGTTGGTATATTAAACTAAATTTATATTATAATAAAAATATTTCATATGAAATAAATCTGTGAAGACAAGTTATTCCACGGAGATAGGAAAGTTCACACATTAACAACATATTTGTGGTGGTGTTTAAGACATTGAAACAACAAACAAAAAAATAATTTAAAACCCATTATTTGTTTCAATTAATCAATGTTTTTTATTTTTACACATAAAATAAATTTTTGGTAATCATTTTTTTTATTTCTGATTGTTTATTCAATGAGAATGAAATGTTTTTAAATTATTATAACACGTCTTTATTTAGTTAAATTAAAACAAAAAATCAATTTAAATCGCAAATTTGATGAAATTGAGATATAAGGATTAAAACTCTAATAAAAAGGTATATTATAATTTGAGGAATATAAAAATATAACAAATAAGTCTTTTAGATATCATTTTATTATATATGTTTAAAGTATTATTCTATGCTATAATGTTATTGCAATACTTGAATACCAATAATAAATATTTTGTTTCAAAAAAAGTTGTTCATCACAATTTTAAAAAATTGAACTTTATTTTTGTTAGTTTAAGATTTTTGTTTCCTTTTAATCACAAATATTGGTTGTTTATTAAAAACAATATGGTGTTATTGAAAATGATTATTTCTATTATTACAATTCAATAAATAAAAAAATACACTATTCGCGTGTGTTAAATTGATACAAAAATATCAACTATCTTGTTATTAAAGTTATTCATGGCGAAAATAACAGACACAATTACACCATCTTTTCCACGTCGACGTATATACAACAACATTTTAGAGACGGTTGGAGGCACTCCATTAGTCAAATTGAACAAAGTAGTTGAATATTACAAGATAGATCCCTCCACGACTATTCTTTTAAAATTAGAATTCTTTAATCCTTTATCTTCTGTCAAAGATCGAGTTGCTTTCAACATAGTGTATCAAGCTCTTCAAGACGGTCGTTTGCGTCCAGGAATGGAACTGATAGAAGCCACCTCTGGGAACACAGGAATTGGTCTTTGTGGGGTTGGTAATGCATATGGCTTTAAAGTGAACATAGTGATGCCGACCAACGAATCCCTTGAGCGTAAGTTGATAATAAAAGCGTGTGGCGCGACTTTAATAGAGACTGAGAGTTCTCTTGGGATGCAAGGCTCCATTGCTTTAGTTGACAAAATGGTGAAGGAAGACCCACAGAAGTATTTTGCAACGAACCAATTTGCAAACCCAGACAACACAAATGCACATCAATCAACTGCACGTGAAATTTGGGAAGATACTAATGGAAAGGTAGACATCTTTGTCTCTGTTATTGGAACGACTGGAACGCTCATTGGTGTTGGTGAGAACCTGAAAAAGAAAAAGAAAGATTTTAAAGTGATAGCTGTTCAATGGGATAGAATACCATGTGGAGGACCATATCTTCCCCTTTGTTGTGAAAGAAGTGGTGGGTTTGTACCTTCGATATTTAAAAGTGAAGTAGTTGATGATGTAGTGATGTACAAAATAGAAGATGCACTCAAAATGGCACGAGCGGTGTGTAAGTACGATGGGATTATGATTGGGAACACTGCAGGACTTGCTGTTTTAGCAGCACTGAAAGAAGCAACTAAAAGTGAGAACAAAGGGAAAACCATTGTAGTTATAATACCATCCTCAGGTGAAAGAGACATGTCGACGGAGTTGTATAACACAGTGGATATTGGAAGTAAAACAGAAATTTTGGATGAACTTTTGAATTGATATTGGTTATTTCTATTTATTTAACTTTAAATGATTACAGTAAAGAGAATATAATATAAGATGGATATCTTTTAAACACAAACACGACAATTTGATGTTTTTATTTTATAGTTTTTTATAATTAATATTTACTACATTTTTATCACACTTAAAACTAGAAATGGTAGTTGTTTTTATTATTTTTTATGGTACTTTATTATTGCAAAAAAATAAAAACTATATTTCTAATTTACATTTAGTTCGAAAAAAATAATACAAATAAACAAAAAATTAAAAAATAAAAAAATGAATTAATTTGCTATTTTTCTGGTCTTCTTGGTTTTTTTTTCTTTAACAATATGTTTGAACCGAAGGGACTTATCAACCAATTTGCATGTTATGGTTTTGAATTTTCCTTTACATTTGACATGAGTAAAACCTCTCAAGAAAGAGAGGGTGTGGGAATTTTGTTCTCTCAAGAGCGGGCATTTATAGCCAATCAAACCTCAAATACCGCTCGATAGAGAACTCTAATTTTAGTTTTAGTCTAAAAAATGCCCGCTCTTGAGAGAACCCGCTCTTGGGAGGTTTTACTGTAATTTCTATTTTTGTTTTTGTCGTTTTGCAATTTTAGAAATTAATAAAAACCCAAAAATAACCAATGAATAAAAACAAATCATTTATATTTTTTTGTGGATAAAATATATTATTTCAGAAGAGAACCGCGTTCTCTTATTTATCATATAGCACACATTCAAACATTTTGTTCACACGCTACACAAAAAGTGGTCAACGACTTTGGCAAAATATATTATCTCGCTCTCACATGCATTGTATATTATATTTTATCACAACCTCTCCTCGCATAATAAATATCGTAATGAATGACTGTTTTGAGTTCAAAATACTTTTTTTATAGTCCAAAATTCGATTTTTTAAATCTGTTGACTTTTTAATCCATTCTTATTTTTTGGAGTTTTATATTATTTAAAATTTGGATCGAAACGTAACAACGTTTTTGATTAATACAATTAATATTTTATATAATATATTATTAAGTTTTAATTGTTTATCGAGATTCATTTGAAATTACAGTCATGCGAAAAAGCTGTCGCGTTTGAAAAAACCTGTCTCGGGTGGTAATGAACTATTCTAGTACTATAAACAAATGATCTGAAATAGAAAATGTTATTTGGAAATGCCGAATATTTTTATTCGATTTTTGTGAAATGACCCTGCAAATAAATCGAATAGAAGCTATACTGTATAGTAAGTAATTATAAATTTACTATAAAATATTTTTTCAAGACAGGTTTTTCCAAACGCGACAGCTTTTTCGCATGACTGTATTATGGCAATAAATGGCAATTAAAATATTTTTTGAAAGCATTTTAATAAAAAACATTATTTTTATAAAATGTTTTTACTTAAGATGTTTGTTATATTATACTATTATATGCAAAATTATTAATAATATATATTATGCTTATTTATTAGTTTATAAAATTATTATTTTATTAAGAATAATTATTCAAACATCAACTTATTCTTTAATAAATAACAGTGATCAGACACACAACATTCAAATGGTGTATTTAACATGTTGTTAACAGCTTTTTATTATCAACAAAACTCACTCTTGATATCCAAGAATGTGTTTATTAAAGTTGACTTTATTAATTTTTATAAAACTAAAACAATATTATAATTTACTATCAATAAAACTATTTATTTTTCATTTTATTTTCAAAAAATCAACAACCTTACAATTATAAATGTTGTGCATTTACCTATCATTCATTTCAATTTATTTATTCAATAGATGTTATCAAAGAGTCTATTACAACAATTTGAAATTCCAATTTTTCAAAATAAAGAGTATAAATTAATATAACAGGGATTCGTTTTTTAACTTTTTAAAACACATATTTTAACATTTTACCCTTTATGACGAACAATAATATTATAACCTTATCCCACGTGTATTATATATATCACTTCATGAATAAAAATAATAAAATAAATATCATCGTTAAGAGAAACGATGACTATTTTTTGGATAAATACAAAAACAGAAATCTCATTTTTCGTTCCAAAAAACAAAAATTGTTGCAAATTTTTACCCGTCACTTCGCAACGGGTTTGTTACAAAACAATATTTGTAAAACATTTATTTTTAAAAGTTACAAATACAATACTTGACTTACAAAAAGCGTTCATATTACTACTACTTGCCTCGCACTCATTCGCGAGACGACTAAATTAACTTTCTCAAAAAAAAACAAATCGATTTGTTCAACTATTTTTATTAAATCAATTTTTTATCTGTTTTTAACAAATTGTGAAATAACTAAATTATCTCATTTGCTTCGATGAACTACTGTGTTTGATGGGAAACAATAATCACCAATTAATTTAATACTTGATGGTATTGTTACACTTTTTAGACTACTGCATTTATAAAAACAAGAATTACCAATTGATGTCACGCTTGATGGTATGTTGACACTATTTAAACTACTACAATTACCAAAACAATCTTTTCCAATAGATGTGACACTGGATGGTATGTTGACACTACTTAGACTACTGCATTCATAAAAACAAGAATTATTAATTGATGTTACACTTGATGGTATTGTTATTTTACTTAGACTTATGCATCTGCAGAAACAATATTCACCAATTGATGTCACACTTGAAGGTATGTTAACACTTCTTAAACTACTGCATTCACAAAAACAACTTTTACCGATTGATGTAACACTCGATGGTATGTTATTACCATATTTCTTTCTATCATTTTTAGTGTAAGTAATGTTTTTAAACTCAATGTTTCGACTTTTGTTTTTGTCAACAGTTTCAAAGTCAAGATTGAACCACACAATGATTCGATAGAACTTTTTTTTAAAAACGGCTTTATTTTCACAATCTTCATTTTTTTCCGTGTTGTTCAAAAATTCATTGCCAAAATTTTCATCCTCTTCTTCCCACAAATGAAGTGTCTCGATGTTTGGAAAATATCCAAGAGTTTTGGAATTTAACGGAATTGGGTTATAATGGAATTTTTCCATATTACCACCAAATTTCTTGCATACAAACTCTAAGTTAATAAAGTCTTTGATTATTGCGAAGTACTTCGACACTATCATGATATGATAACCAGAAAGTCCACACATATTATTTTTCACAGTTTTTTGGTCTTTAAATATTTTCGAAATACTTCTTTGCAAACAATTATAATAAATTATAGATGAATATATAATTCACCATTTGAAGAGATGAGATTATTTTCGTAAAAATACCTATAATTAAATAACAATTTATTAATTAAAATATTTATACATTATTCAAATGTTTGAAATCATTTATGGTAATTACCACGAATGTTATTAATTGTGTTGTTTTAAAAGAAAAAGAATCAATACAATTATTGTACCTTATTGCAATTTGTCACATTTTCACAAATCTTAATGTTCAGCGAATTATGAGAAAAGTAAAAGTTCGGCGAATTATAATTGTTGTGAAATAACTATAATTTAAAAATGGATTGATTTGGATATATTGATTCCCATGTCTGCAGATAATAAAAAAATAATTGATATATAATAAAATAATAAATGATTTGTTATTTTTTTTAATTGTGATGACTTTTTGGGAATTAAATAAAAATTGACTAAAAATATCTTAACCAAATTTTTTAAATGACGAAACAAAAAGTAAACAATTAATTATAACAGGGTCGGCCAAAATCCAGTTTTTAAACAACTTCGTGGCATCTCTAATACGTAAGTTTATTTTTAGTTTTAGCATATTGTTAACAAAAAATTCAAAAGGTTTTTTTGTGTTAAAATGTTTTTAAACAATTGTTAAAACTATTATTAACGATTTGAACATTTTTTAGTGTGATCAAAATATCATTATATTGTGTAAAATTTTAGTTTTTAAGAACAATGTTTGATAAGTTAAAAGCATGTGAAATATTGTGTAACAGAGTTTTTAAAATTAAATAACAATATTCACCAATTATAATACTTGAAGAGACAAAAGATACTTACAACCAATAAAATTTATTAGAAATAATTTATGTGATTTTAACATAAAATTTAATATTTTTACAATTGATATTTAATTATTCAAAACATAGGTGAAAATGAATTATAAACACAAGTTTTGATTTCTTCAATTATGTCCCTTCTGAAATAAAGTTTCAATGAATCAATCAAATTGTATTATTTTGTATTTTTATTAACATTTGCAATAATACAAAACAGACAATGTATTTTTGGATGGAGTAAACCATTTAATTTTCAAAAAACAGTAAAACTTATTTTTAGATAATCTTATCAATGAAAACGATCATTCAAAATACGATAATAATCAGTCAAAATAATAATTACTCATTGAATTGAAAACGAATAAATATATTAGTGCAGCTTTAAAGTTGTTTCATTTACACGCGAATTATATAATTGAAAGGTTTTGGTGTAGAATTATATTAACACAAAGAAATATTTTTATTGTTGTATTTTAAAGTAATTTGAAAAAAACACCATGTTTAATATAAACTATCGTTTTATATTTTTTCATTTTGTCATATGGAATAAATAATTGTGTTTTGTCATTTATTTTTTTGTTTTTCAAAAATGATAATGTTATTTACCATTTTTTTGTTTTTTAAGTTTTTTTTCAATAACATGATCGTTTGGCCGACCCTGATTATAATCAAATTATAATAGTGAATTGTATTGTTCTTGAATTATTCGATAAATTATTGTTAAACTTTGACTTGTCACTCAAAACAACCTTTCTACATAGAATTGTCAACAACCATAAATATACAACCATTATTTTATTTAACGTGGTCAAATTCGACAACAGTTCTTTACAATCTTAAACATTATTATAATGAACCATTTTATATTATTTTTTAACAACATTTAAACTGATGTTTAACCCTTCACTCTTCCAGTACCAAAAATTTCCAAAAAATGTATACTTATTTATATCTTATTCATTTTGAGTATAAATTAGAAAGAAATCATGCAAAAACGCTTTAAACTTTTAATAACCATGGGAAATACTAGGAAACAAAATTAATAGTAAAAAATAATTTAATTTACTACAAATTAATAGTAAATTTTAACCTAAAATCGTATTTTTGTTGAAAAAAATGTTCACTTTTCCTGTGAGGAAAACTTGAAGACTTTTCCTGTAATTATTTTTAAGTTTATACTTTTTTCTTTTTATATCAAAAATTTGTGTATAGTATAATAAACTATACATTATAAGTTTTTCTAAAAACAGGGTTTTAAAATAAGAAAAATTATCAAAAAAAATTAAGATAAAAATTTATTTATTGAAAAACAAGAGATAAATCATACTTTGAAAATTCCAAAAGTAATTATTTTAATTTAGTTTAAATTGCAAATGTTTTGATGTTTTGTAACTAGCGTGTAAAAAAGTTTTTATTGAATTTTAATACTCATAACAAATAACCATATATTATGATATCAGTTGTGCAACCACACTGATTATTAGCGTTCTCACTATATAACCTATTGTTGAAAATTATGTGTATACGAGATATATTTACGAAATTTTTCTTCTTAACTATCGTTTTAAAAAAATCTTTTTCATTACACAAAATAAACCAAATGTATATGAATAACATTACTACCTTTTTCACGTTTTAAAAAAAAAGAACCTTTATATACATTACTCTAAATTATTATAAAATATATTTTAAAACTAATATGTATAACACAACTGTGTTAGACTTTTAATTTATATAACATACAAAAATAAAACGTGCAAACTTTTTATATTTTATAAATGATACATCAAACGTGAACTGAAAAATACAATATTAAAAATAAATACTGTTTTATTTAGAATAACTTTTAGTTTACAAATTTAAGTTTATATTCATTTGTATTCGTGTTATAACAATCATATTTCTGGTATTGGAAGGGTTAAATAGTAAAATTATTAAAATATCGTATGTGAAGTGTTTGTGAACAAAAAGACAAAAGTTGAAATTGTTACAAAATGAGAAATTCCTTTAATTTTTGTGTTATAATTTAAAGTTAAGTTATGTTGCATGTCTACATTGTAAAAAAAACACTCTTTAAAATTTGAACATTTTTTTTCAGAAATGTAATTGTTAACAATGAAACCTTATATTTTAATCATTGTTGTATAATCATTAGAAATGGTAATTAATTGGTGTTTTTATTTTTCTTTTTTTATTGATATTAAAATGTTTAAAACCATATATGTTTTAGCAGCACTGAAAGAAGCAACTAAAAGTGAGAACAAAGGGAAAACCATTGTAGTTATAATACCATCCTCAGGTGAAAGAGACATGTCGACGGAGTTGTATAACACAGTGGATATTGGAAGTAAAACAGAAATTTTGGATGAACTTTTGAATTGATATTGGTTATTTCTATTTATTTAGCTTTAAATGATTACAGTAAAGAGAATAAAACACTCCACTTTATTTTATAAATTCAAATAATATTAATATAATAAAATGTTTTATACTGTTTACCATGAAGGCTAAATATGCTACATGGAGACTTTTTCTGTCGGAGGTGGTAATTTGTATTATACTTTGTTATTATAATGTTATTAGTTAAATTATTATGACGACAGGTTGTGGAAAAAAGTTGGCGTTTTTTCATCCTCCTTTAAGTTAACAAATTTTAAATTTAAGTAGACAAACTTCAAAGCTTACATCAAGTATAATAGCTTCTTAATCCCCTTATTTTTAACTGTCTTATTAAAACTTAAATGACGCTTTTGTTTTTCAATTAACCCGTTTTTACAGGGATAATAATTAATTTTAGATTATTTTACCTTTTTGGGTTGTGTTTTTTGCACATAAACTCTAAAAAATGGAAAATATTTTAATAAATTTGTTATTCCCTGTTTATTGGACCACTTGAATTTTGTTCAATGTTAATTTAAGGTGTTAATGTTATTAAAAGAGAAACAACAAAGTTGATTATACAAACTTTAATTTAACTTTTAGAGTTAATAGATTTTAATAATTACAAATAGAAAATAATAAAACTACAAGTTAATAAATTATAAAAAATGTATTATTATTAATTAAAGTGATTGTTAATGTAAATAATTAATAATGTAAATTATACTAAAACACACCCTTTCTTTTTCTTTGCTGCTATTGTTTGAAGTTCCTTTTTCTCTCTCTGCAATTTAATGTATTGTTTTGCAACATCGATAAACATCTCATCGATGTTAATTCGTGTTCTTGCTGAACACGAGTAAAACGGCACATTCCAATTTAAAGCAAGTCTTTCACCATCTGCTTGTGATACAACTCTTTGAGGCTCTAAGTCACATTTCGACTCACATAAGACCATTACTATTTTCTCGTTATTTTTAATATTAAGAACGTATTCTTTAAAACTTTCTAATTCATTAAAAGAGTCTATAGATAGTATAGAATATATAAATACAAAGCAGTCGCAATTTTTATATATCATTTTAGTCAATTCTTTATATTCGGTGGACTCATCCATTAATATAAAATAGACTTCTATTCCATCAACTTGTTTTAAAACAATATACGAGTCTTCCATTGGATTGGGGACATAATTCTCTTTAAAGATTTGTTTTTCAAATTGAAGTTTGGTTGTCGTTTTACCAACACCCTTTGCTCCTATTAAACATACTATACAATCCAAACGCCTGTTCATTTTTAATTATTATTTTTAATTATAGATTTTATTAATTTTTAGTTCACTTGGTCATGTTCTTTTGTTCTTACTGATTTTTTTGATGTTTTTGCTTTGTTTGAAGTAAATAACAATTCATAATCGATATGTAGAAAAAAGCTTGTTTGCAAATTATAGTAAATTATAACATTAGTTGCTATAATATTAAAAACATTTTGTATTATTTCAAAAACATTAATTAAAAATCCAAAAAAACAGAAAAATAGAAACTAATAATAAATGGTTGTTTATAATAAAATATAGTTATTCTTAACCAGATGGACTTTTTTCCACCAACTCAATCTGTTTTATTTTTTTATTGACTTATTTAGTTTCAACAATTTATATAATATACGATAACTTTACTATTATCATTTTAAATAACATTGAACATAATTCAAGTGGTCTAATAAACAGGTAATTACACGTTTATTAGATATATTTCCCGATTATTCAAAGTTTATTCCATGCATATCAATACACAAGCCAAAAAGGTAAAAATAGTTTAAAATGACAATCTATTATTATATTAAAAACAAGTCAATTGTAAATATTTAATTAATTAATTGACTCATTTTTCAAAATGTGAGTTAATTTAATTAAATTAAAAACTACGAAAACTCATTAACTTAATAAAAATATGAATAACGAAGAAAACAGTGTTGTAGTAATTGATAATGGTTCCTCCGCTATAAAATCGGGATTTGCTGGCGATGATAATCCTCTTAACATATTTCCAACTTTAGTTGGAAGATCAAAATCGCGTATTCAATTCAGTCATCAGAACAACACAACTGAATATTATATAAACGATTCTTTAAATACCAAAACCAATTTTTTTGACGAAATAAGTCCAATACAAAATGGTCAAGTAAAAGATTTTGACGCATTAAGTGCACTATGGAAATACATTTTTGAAGAAAAACTTCGCATCGATTCAAGTGAAAAACACATGTTACTCACAGAGGATTTTGAACTTTCATATAGTGTTAGAGAGAAGATGAGTGAAATCATGTTTGAGTCGTTTAAAGTCCCTTCTCTGTATATCTGTCGACCTTCTGTGTTGCCGATCTACTCGGCGGGAACTACAACTGGTCTTGTTGTGGAGAGTGGGGAAAGCACTTTTCGACTTGAATTTATGTACGACGGTTTTTCGTATCAAAACAGTACATTTCACAATTCTTTAACTGGCGGCTGTGTTACAGAAACACTCAGAAGACTTCTTACCAAAAAGTTTAATACATCAACTTTAAATTTTAACCGCGAGACTTTGCAGGAAATTAAAGAAAATTTGTGTTCTTGTACGACAGACTTTGCAACCAAAAGAACTCAAAAATCGAGTGAATTAGAGAAGGAATTTGAACTTCCAGATGGGACAATTCTACGTCTTGGAATTGTGCGATTTGAAGTTGCTGAGGCACTTTTTGAACCACAAAAATACGATATCGACTGTGAAGGTATACAGCACTATATAGCAAATTCCATTCAAAAATGCGATTTAAATAGTCGAAAATATTTTTTGAGTAACATTATATTAGCTGGTGGAAATACTATGTTTGATGGAATTGATAAAAGACTACAACACGAAATCAATAAACTTGTGGCTAAAAATGCAAAAGTTAAAATTATTACATTGCCAGAAAGAAAATTGTCGGCTTGGATCGGAGGGTCCATTTTGGGGTCTTTAAATAGCTTTGAACAGGCTTTGGTGAGTCGAGAAAAGTATATGGAATATGGGAGTAGTCTTATACATTTGAATTGTCAATTATAACTCTTTTTTATATGTTACTTTTTTTCAAAAGTTATAATAATTTTTATTTAATGAAATTTAGCACTATACTCGGTCTGGAAACGTTGCCGGGTATTTTTAGACCATTAAAACTGAATATTTTGGGAAACAATTCGAAACACTCCCAAAACATTGTTTCATATTTTTTACCAGGTTTCAACGTTTTTTCTAATTCTTAAATAATTAAACTTGTTTTGTGTAAATTTTTGTCAAATGGACAACTTTTTACAAGCGGACAACGTTTTTAGACAGACTTTAAATATAATTTTGAACAATTCTGATCGAAATGAAACAAATAAACAATTTGTTTATAGTTTATAGAATAAATAAATGTAACAACTATACATAAGGTTTGCTTGATAAAATAAATATTTAAAATGGGTTAAAAAATATTCAATTTCTTATTATTTAAAAGTTACATAATAATGTTATAAGAAATGATTGTAAAGGAAAAACACCATAATGTCCATTCAATAATATAAATAATAATAATAATAATCACTTTATTCCTTGAAAAAAAAATATAGATATTTTTAAATTTATATAAACCATTTTTATAGTATTTTAAAATAAAGTTTTTTTTAGTGTTTTTGGAGTGGACTGAATAAAGTATCTTAATAAAAAGGGAAAACCAAATAACTTAAAAGTTGTTTTAAGTATTACATGAAGTTTTTTTAAAGCAGTATGTTAAAAAATGCAAATAAGTTCCTAGTTAATAATTTATATAAATAATCCCGTTTTTATTGAAATTCTAAGAGTAATAAAAAAACAACTTTAAGGTTCACTGTTTTTTAATCACTCTGATTATAGAAATATTGTGTTTTAAAACATTAATAACAATCAAACCAATTATAATCATTTTAAAATTTCCCCCAAAACAGTAACTATTACTAATAATTATATTATATTAAGTTATAGTTATCGACATAAATTAAGTAATAAATTGTTATTATAATAGATGTTACTAATAAAATTGATGTTATTAGAGTTCTTTATAAATATAACACAACCTCAGATTAATATAAATTTGTTATTGTAACTATAGTAATTTACTATAAAATAGTTTAAATATTGAAAATATAATAAAATGGATCAAAACAGATACATTATTATTACAAATCGACATTTATTATCTTTCTTTGCATTTTAAAAAACAAATTATATATTATAATAATTTAAATTAAAATTTATAGTTTGAGACTCTCTGTCGATTTTTTGTTTCAAACCCGTTTCATTTTTTGTATAAGTCATTTAAAACAAGGAAACTATAAATAAACTATATTTATTAAATCTTGATCTAAAACATCGACATAAAACAACAATATAATTATATCGTTTTATCTTGCTTTTCATTTTTTACAAATACACTTTTATCTGAAATAAAATACATCTTGTAAGACCATTACATGGGTTTTGTCTGTATTATTTTGATCAACCTTATTGTTTTGACAACATCCACTGTATGTCAACCGACGAGTTCTGATTGCTCGACTGGCTTCAAATTGTTAGGTTTGTGTTTATATTTGATTCAACCATAAAAACTAATTTTTATTATTGATATTCGATTTTTTTGGTGTTGTTATTTGAGCTTTTTTTATTTTTCCATTGCAATTTTATCAAAAAAATAAACTACGAAATCGTTTTCAAATCTTTTTTTATTAACTTACACAAAAAATATTTTAATGTCATTCCTGGTTCTTCATTACTAATTACAAACATGTATTATACTTATAATATAATTTACTTTTTTTAATTTACACAATAATAATGTATTATAATTATTAAATAATTATACTATTAATTATACTATACTAATAACACGGTATTAGAATTATTAGCTAATTTAACTATTCATAAATAATATATTCTATTCTACTTATTACCTATTTTACTATCAATTTGATAAATGTATTATAATTATAATATAATTTTGATTTAAAATAAAAATAAAACACTGTATTAAAATGATTAGTTAATTTAACTATTGATAAATAATATATTGTATTATACTTTTTAATTATTTTACTAATATATACCAATAAATATCTTATAATAGAAGACTTACAGACAGACATCACGAGTGGAGATAGGATAGCGGATTGTTCTTTAGTGTACGTGAGCCGTGACTTTGTTCTTACAAAAAGTTGTTTGATGAACTTTACAGTGATTCCCGTCTTTGAATTAGATGGGATTATTGCGATAGATTTTTCAGAAGAATTTTTTGAGAAAGAAGGAGGCATTTTACTTGACAAAAATGCTGTGGTGACTTTGAGGAATAAGAAACACATAGAGAAGTATCACTCCTTTCAGGCGTCGAATAATGCGACGTTGATTATTCCGGGGACTTTGGCGTTGTTATCGAAATTAACAGTTCCACCCAAACTGAAACTTTTAATTGAAGAAGACTTGAGTTGCAATTCGGACTTTGTTATGAGTGAAGGAAGTATTTTGGAAGTCAGTGGGACACTAACTTTACTTAAGAACTGTGAGATGAAGGAAAACACTAAAATTGGTATTAAAGGAGAAGTCGTGGTCCAGGGAGCCACTTTAAAAATGACTCAAAGTACTTTACATGCAAATTCAATGGAATTTAGTGATTCAAATTCAGTGATAGAAATTGGGGAAGGCTGCGACATGACTTTGAGTGAAATTACTATGGGAAGTAACTCGATGATGTCTTTTAAAGGCAACTCGAAGCTCAAAATTGAAAGTGGCGAATTTGTGTTGAAGGACGACAGTCTTTTAAATATTTTAACAAACACTTTGGACTTCTCTGATATCAAGAAAATCGTTTTAAAAGACAATTCAAGACTTAGTGTGAGAAATACAGTACAAGGGACTTTTAAGTTCTGTAGCGAACTTATTGCAGACGATTTTTCAAATGTGTTAATTTCAAGTTCTAGCACATTTGAAATGAATAACATTTCTATATATAATGATGCTCTATTCACTGTCACAGATTCGCCACAGATATCATTTAATAGTATCAATTTATATAGTAAAAGTACTTTATTGATATCTGAAAGTGCACTCCAACTGAGAGGTAATTCAATGGTTTTGGCGGACACTTCAATATTAAAAATTGTTAATACGAAGACGGTAAACAAAGTTAGTACCTTCAATTTTAAAATCGAGTTACACACATCTTCGAATTTAATGTGTCAAAGTGCACTTCCTCTTTCCTTTGATATTTTAATATCAATTTTTGACGAATCAAAATTAGAAATTGTAGACACCAACATTAAAACTTCTGAGTTATTGAATAAATTTACCAACAGTGTTGGAATCAATTTATATAACAATTCGACGTTTTCACTCATTGGAAATGCGCAGATGAATTACTCCAAAGACGTCGTTCTTCACGATTTTTCGACACTTTTGTTGTCATCAAATAAGCAAACCTTTCAACCAACGTTTTTCACTCATATTATACAAGCAAAGGACAACTCCTTTATAACCATTCCCAATAACTCAAACAGTGTTATTGCAGCTCAATTAATCTTTTCTGAATACAGTAAAGTCGATATCGGCATTTCCTCTCAATTTACTATTAATAAACCATTAATAACTATTGATTTTACTAATCAAACGTGTCTTCTGTTATTAACATCTTCCTCTTCATTTACTATGGAGTCGGCGTGTAGAGTATATATAGACTCTTGTGTAGAGATGAAGCACGCGTCCACTTTCACTGTCAAAAACGAGAGTGTTTTAACGGTAGCGAAAGGCATAATAACTCGTGCCAGTGATTATTTTACTTCCGTTATAATTATTGAGTCGACGTCACGGCTGTATTTTAATTGTGAGAGTTACGATAGAGAGTACTGCCGTTTGCATCTGAGTGATGTAGTGAAAGATGTGAATTGTTACTCCGTGAGTCTTTCACGGTCGACTGTAATTGAAGCGCCGGGGCGGTCTATAGAGGACTACCCACTCTTCTCGAGTTCCAATGGGATCTTTGAAGTTGATCCGAAGAGTTTTGAGAAGATCACAAGTTGTGTTGACATCTTCTCATCGCCATATGGAATTAATATTTTAATTGCTTTGGAAACTTTTGCAGTAGTTGGGTATGACGAGAGAGTCTACAGGTACTGCCCAAGTACTATGGAAATGTCGACTGAAGTCTTTTGCCATATGAATGGGACTCAATGGATCGAAGGTGATGAAGAAGAAACGGAATACCCATATCCATTCACTCATAGACATTGCCCTCTACCTTATGATAGTGCTTATGTCAATCACTTTAATGTCATCGCAGAGCACACTTATATCAACACTTTGAACGAAAACTTGAATGTTAATTTTGTGAGAAAACCGGTGTGGATTACACATAATAGAACAAGTAAAAGTGTTAAGCATATCACAGGGAACGTCGCGGGGCTTTTCTATATAAACGAATTTAATATCACAACAGGGTGTCCGGTAACTGAACACCTTAATACAAGCGCCTGGGTGCAAAATACACTGACTTTCAATCAGTCGTGTATCAACGAGAAGTTGCCCGACTTGCAAGTCTACACCTCCGCATTGATCATTGGGACCTTCCAAATGCGATTTGTAACAACAACAGACGTCATAGTGTCATTCCACAAGAACACAACACTCGCTAAGGAAATTAACACATCCAAAAATTTGACGTCGAATATTATGGCGATGTACCAGCACGGCGTCAATTTCACTAGATTTAACACAAAATGTGCGGCTGGATACGTCTTTTATAATAAAACGGCGTTTGTCACACAACTCAAAGTTCTGTCGGACGTCAAAACCGTTTGTGAGAGCGACGAGGCCTTCAACGAAGTCACCAAAACGTGTCAAAACTGTCACATTTTATATGGAAATGCATGTCAGAAGTGTGTGAGTGACACGTGTACGTTGTGTGATTTAAAGTATCGTTTAGACAGTACTGGGCACTGCACTTCAATTGAAAAGTGTTTGATTTATTCTTCAAGTTATTGTGTAGAATGTGAGAGTGGGTATTGGGCGGACAGTCAGTGTGTTTCGTGTCAAATTGGATGTCAAAAGTGTACCAAAAGTGGGTGTACCTTATGTGAGAACAACAGCTCGTTAATTCTTAATGGAAATTGTGTCCCAATACCAAATAGTTTAATTATAGTTCCACAAACTATAATTGCCTGTGAGAGGAATTATTACTCGACGACTGTAATGTGTGCGTTGTGCACTTCTAAGTACCCAAACTGCGAGGAGTGCAATACTAAAAGTTGTTTAAAATGCAATTTGGGATATGTTTTAATAGGACAAGATGGCTCTTACAGCTGTCAGGATATGCACTGTAAGACGATAAAAACGCCTGAGAAGTGTTTAGAGTGTTCAGAAGAGTATTTTCTGAATATAGAAGGGGACTGTGTGCCTATAATTGAACACTGCAGATATTATGATACCACCAAATGCATTGAATGCGACAGTCCAAATTATTATTTAGTAAATAACAAATGCACGACGAATGAATCGGAAACTCATTGTTATCAATCGACTCAGATAGGGTGTGTGGAGTGTGTTGATGGGTACTACAGTGACGGCTCAGTATGTAACAAGTGCAACACGAAATGTAAAAAGTGTGTCTCAACCTTTGATACGTGCACATCGTGTATAACTGGTGCTTCACTAATTGATAACAAGTGCGTCACGGTCTTCTCATTAGAAGGGATTTGTCTTCAATTCAATCAATATGGATTTTGCACAGCATGTAACACGACATATTATGTCTCCGACGGGGGGTGTCTTCAATGTACATCTCCATGTCATGAGTGTCTTTCCAGTGGTAAATGTACTAATTGTATCTCAAACTATTACTTACTAGATAATGGAAAGTGCGAGTTAATAAGTTCGATTCTTCATTGTAAGACAGCACAGACGAACATTGGGTGTGTCATATGTGACGACGGATTCTATTTAAAATCGAAAATCTGTGTTAAATGTGGAGAAGAGTGTATTTCATGTACTTCAGAGAGTCTCTGTCTTAATTGCAGTAATAATAAAATGATAGAAAATGGCGCTTGTGTGGATAGAATGGAAATTAAAGGGTGTACCACACTCGTTAATTCTTATTGCGAAAAGTGCGACTTCTGGAAAATGCCATCTGAAGATAAGACGAACTGTAAGAGTCACGTTGTGTGGTGGGTCATTCTGCTTCTCACAATTGTGGCGGTCGTCATATTGATAGTAACCATTTTAATTGTTATATATATAGCAATTGTAATAATGAGGCACAAAGAGCAACACATTCGCTATACAAAGTACCACATTTTCATGTTAAAAAAGGCAATACACCAGATCGAGTACTTTCCTCTGAATACTGAAAGTGCTTTAGTGATGTCTCCAAAGGAACTTTCATTTAGTCCAGAAGCGCATCAGATACCCGTTGATGAAGATACGAGTCTTCAAGTGATCATTGGGAATGTCGGCAATTCCCCACAGAAAATCCAGTTTGTGACATTTAAAAGAAAGAGGAAGTACATCTTGAAATTTTCGCCAAAGGTGGTTGTGTTACGACGAGGAGAAGCGTGTGAATTTACTTTGACGATTCATCCCATTTGCTCCTTAAAAATCCGTGACAAAATTGGAGTCGTGTCCTGCGCTCTAAAAACTGGAAATGAGAAAGTTAACGAAGTGAGTGTTTTCGCAGAGACAATGTTATCAACAAAACTCGACAAAGACAATTTAAAGGAAATCTCTGTGATCGGAGAAGGCTCGTTTGGTGTTGTCTTTAAAGGGACTTTTAATGACCAAATAGTAGCTATTAAGCGAATTAGAACGGAAACTAATAGAGACGACGCCTTCGAAGAATTCGAAAAAGAAGTTTCCATGTTAGACAAATTTAGATGTGAGTATATCGTCCACTTCTATGGAGCCTGTTTTCTGCCGAATTATTTGTGTTTGGTAACAGAATTGGCTGAATTCGGAAGTATCCAAGACGTAAAAGATAAAATGCCAATCGACATCTATCCTCTGCATTTAAAAACAAAGTTAATGGTGGACGCGGCAAAAGGAGTCGAGTATTTACATATCAATGGCATTTTCCATAGAGATATCAAACCAGCTAATATACTCGTGACTTCTTTGGCAGAGGGACAAAAAGTCAACGCAAAATTGACGGATTTCGGTAGCTCAAGAAATGTAAATTGTTTGAAACAAAACAGCACGTTTACTAAAGGAATTGGAACACCAGTTTGTTATTTTTATCTTTTAATTGTATTAATATATAATATTTTATTATATATTATAATTATAATTATAATTTAATATATAACTTTATCACAAGTTGAAATAATTGTTTTATTATAGTATTTATAATTATTAAAAATAGTATTATCATTTGGTTTTATTATAGTTGTTTTTATATACTTGATATAGTATTATTTATAGTTTGGTAAGTTGTATTTAATGGTAAATAATATAGTTTAAATACAATAATAATACAATAAAAATTAATTAATAATAATTTGTAATTTAATGTATAATTTAATTATAATATGACTGATTGAAAAAATTATAAATAATATAGTTTTAATACTATAAAAATACAACTAAAATAAAAACACTATGATGCTTTGTTTTATTATAATAATTATTAGTAATAAATAGTACTTACTATATTTATTTATATCTAAATTATTTTACAAAACCATTTATAACATTTTATCTAAATAAAATAATTATATTATATAGTATATACTACATAATATAAAAATAATAACTTTTAATAATACTAATAATATATTAATAAGAATCACACCATATTTATAATAATAAAAAGTACTATATATGGTCATAAATATATTAAATAATACTATATTATAGTATATTGAATTAATCAATAGCTGTATATGGCACCCGAAGTATTGATAACTGGAAAATATGGGTTTGAATCTGACACGTACTCATTTGGTATGTCATTATATGAAGTAATAGGGTGGTGCAGTGCTTTTTCAGAGTGCAGATATGTATGGAACATTGCATCAAAAACATCAAACGGAGAACGACCAGCGTTTTCCCCAAATCACAAACTGTTTGAAGATGTAATTGCTTCGTGTTGGCGACACGAAATAAAACAAAGGATTTCTATGAGCGAAGTTGTTCAGAAATTAGAAATTATATACGAGAATCTCAACCAAAACACTGATAAAAATAGCAAAGCGCCACAATTTTTATTGTTGTAAAGGGGGCAGACCTTTCCCACCCTCACCCCGTCTAAATATAGAATTAATTTACTATATTTTATAATTTTATAATTATAATTATAGTAAATGGGCGTTTTGGATAATATTAGGTCTGGTTCCCGAATTCAAGAAATGCCGAAAATTCACCTCGAGTTAGTGGAAACCGAGTGAGACGGAACATTGAAAAGAAGGCTCATAAAAACGCACTCAAATAGTCTGTTTGTGCACCGTTTCATTCACTTTCCAAGTCCTCCCTTGGCGCGGATCCCCCCTGACCCCCCCCCGCAAGCGGGGGGAACCACATCCGCGTCCACACAGTACGGACAAGGAAAGTGGGTGACATGGGGACGCACAAACAGTGGCTGAAAAGTGGATTCCCTTCAAAAAACACTCGCGGCAAATATTTTATTTTGGTAAACGGGGTGAGGGTGGGAAAGGTCTGCCCCGTTGTAAAGTGGTTAAAACATTTTATTTTATTTTATTTTATTTGATTAAAGATGTTTGATTGAATGGCAAAAAAATTGCTGGATACATGGTTAGTAAAATATATATAAAATAATAACACATTGGACATAGCCTTACAAATGTTCTTTTTCACAAAATCCAGAAATAATCTTGCAAATAACCCGTGTTTTCAATGATATAATATTTATTAATAAAATAAAATTTCTTTAAATCTAAGCTTGAAATTTCAAAAATATTGAATAAATTCCCAGTTATCAGTTATTATTATTCCCAAATTTCATTGTTATACAGATACAAGAATTATTGGTTGTCACAGAAAAGTGGTTGTCATGAGAATAATGTTATTAAAAACAAAAAAATAATAATTTCCAAATATACAATTTGTGTTTCATTTAAAACAGTAACAGTATTGTTAGGTTAAATCAAAAATTCCAACTTCAATGAAAACACATTTTTGAACACTCTAAAAGTAAATTTTAAAATTAAACTCGTTCAAACAGTAAAGCTGATTGTTTGAACATGTTTGGTAATGAAAATGTATTTAATTCAAATGCATTGTTTTTTGTATAGAAT